TTATTAATTATTATTATTATTACGATGGGAAAATGGGGAAATGCGTCGGATGGTAGAATTTGCTAAGTCTTCCATTATCTTAATCGAGGGCTTCGAGCACTAAAGTAAAAATTTAACAACAACACCAACCGATGCCTTTAATTTAGAGAGCGCCTGGGCTGAAATGCTTTTAATTATTTCTTAGTAAGTTAACTGATAGTGGCTGCTAGTTGAATCAGTAGTTTGCCATCACTCGCTCGCGTCTAAATTACAAGTCATTCCTAGACAGAATTAAATGATTAAGAACACCTGTACTTAGGTTTGATTGACGGCAGCGAAAAAACAAATTTCAGCGTGCAGTTCGTAGACACAGAGTTCTCGGTTCTCATGTTTATAAAAACTGCAGTTATAAGGGAGTTGATGACCAGTTAAACTAAGTCTTTGTTATATTCAGTGCGTTATATCGTGAGAAAAGGCAAGGAACTTAAAAGTACAGAAATCTGCGGTATTCGTGAAAGGCTCAAGAAATTAAGAAGCCGACAATCACTTTAACTATCCTTCGTCACGAGAGAATCCAGCAATTACTTCTGGCTCACGAAAAATATGAAAAAACGACAAAGTTTTGAAATTTTATTTCATTTATAGCAAATAATTGTAGTTTACGCGGTATATACTGAGAAAACTTTGCCTTTTAAAAACATTTAAAACATTTTTGTAATGAATTTTTGAAAATTTTGAAATGATCAATATGATAACTGCATTACTGAGGTGTCATACAAAAACAGCCTTCCCATTATTCTTCATTATTAAAAGTTTTTTTTACAATTATTTTTTTGTTTGAGTTAATGAAAACGTTTCTGGCTCGGTTAAGAAAGTAAAATTGTCATTCACGAGTTGCCAAGGCGTCAGACAATCCAATATACGTCTTATTGTAAAAGTAAGAACAGTACGTCAAGCCGTGAACGACTTCGAGTTAGTTTTGTCACTGAGTAAAATGCATCGTATACATCATCCCTTGAGCCAATCGATTGAAAATAAGATATATTTTGAACTCAACGCTTCGTTTCGGTAGAGGATTTGAAACAGTAACAAGTTAGAAAAAAAACAATATAACCTAAAAAAAAAAAAAAAAAAAAAAAAAAAAAAAAAAAAAAAAAAGACAAAAGAAAAAACCCTCAAAAATCCTCGACGTAATTGTCCTTAATTAAAGATAGGGTTAGTTGTGACATTTAAGGGATACGGCATTGATCATTAACAAATGTTAAAAGGCACAATATACTACGCGGTTTGTGAGGATCAAAATTAATTTACTTTGTTTTAGTCTCCTTTTGATCCTACTATTTCAATGTCAGTCTGTGCAAGAAATCTAATTAGTTGTCTACTGGGGGTATACCGCTGTTAGCCTTGATTGCAGGTGCATGAACAAAACATATTGATTAATGGACACTCATATTAAAGAAGACCAGTCAAAATTTAGATAGGAAATTATACGCCGCCTTGAATTTGCTGCAGGGGTAAAGCAGTAGGAACAAAAATAACAAATATAATAACAGAAATGAATGGGAAAATATGCATGGTCTCAAAGGAAAATTTTCAGACAGTTTACTCTGTGATACTGAGTATGTTTGATGTCATAAAACTACATGAATATAAATTCCTAAATCTAATCAATGAGTTGGCCATGCCAAAACGTTTCAGTGTTCGATCTGTGAGTTAGTCGTACCCTGACTTTGATCAGCCCAGAGGTTGTTTCAGGGTTCGATCTGTGAGTTAGTCGTACCCTGACTTTGATTAGCCCAGAGGTTGTTTCAGGGTTCAATCTGAGAGCTAGTCATGCCCTGACTAAGATCAGCCCAGAGATTGTTTCAGGATTTGATCTGTGAGTTAGCCATGCCCTGACTTAGATCAGCCCAGAGGTTGTTTCAGGGTTCGATCTGAGAGCTAGTCATGCCCTGACTTAGATCAGCCCAGAGGTTGTTTCAGGGTTCTATCTATGAGTTAGCCGTGCCCTGACTTAGATCAGCCCAGAGGAAGTTTCAGGGTTCAATCTGAGAGCTAGTCATGCCCTGACTTAGATCAGCCCAGAGGTTGTTTCAGGGTTCTATCTGTGAGTTAGCCATGCCCTGACTTAGATCAGCCCAGAGGAAGTTTCAGGGTTCAATCTGAGAGCTAGTCATGCCCTGACTTAGATCAGCCCAGAAATTGTTTCAGGATTTGATCTGTGAGTTAGCCATGCCCTGACTTAGATCAGCCCAGAGGTTGTTTCAGGGTTCGATCTGAGAGCTAGTCATGCCCTGACTTAGATCAGCCCAGAGGTTGTTTCAGGGTTCAATCTGAGAGCTAGTCATGCCCTGACTTAGATCAGCCCAGAGGTTGTTTCAGGGTTCAATCTGAGAGCTAATCATGCCCTGACTTAGATCAGCCGATCAGCCCAGAAGTTGTTTTAGGATATATATCTATAAAATCTGATGGTTTTACATTTCCTGTATAATTATCGTCATTTAGACTTAATAGTATCAGATACAGGCGTCATGGCAATGAGCAACAACCCGATTCTTTGTTACAAAACAATCTTCCAACAAAAGCATAAATCAGTGAATTAGGCAGAGAATGGAAGTATAGCACTGTAAATACGATCTTTTCTGTGAGATAAGACGTATGGCAACTATTCCATAGGAGATAGCAGATCACAACATATTGGAATAACACGGAACAAACGATGTATATAGCATCCATTATTCCCACAGTCAGTAACAATATTTCCCGTTTTTTGATATCTAGTGGAGCTTTAAGTTGTCTTGGAGATAGGTGTTGATTTGCCTGTTCTTTTATAGCTTTTTTATGTTTCCTTAAGACGAGCCAAACTCGAATATACGTGTACGTCATCACTATCGGCGGTAATATTCCCATGAATATGAGTTTAGTGATCGTGTCCACGGTATCTGCTTGTGGATACGAGTCCGAAAGAATGGATATGAGATATGGTATTTCTTGAAGAATGGAGAGAATCCATGACAAGAGGATCAAGAACCATGACCGATGACATATCGATCGACGGTAGAAATACGGGTGAACGGCCGAAATATATCTGTCTATGCTAATCATAGAGAGGTTGGTGATGGACGCAGTGTGAAAAAAACTGATAAAAATGTCGAAAATTTCCCAAACTTTATCTGAACATTCCATCATGTGTTCACAGATGAGTTTATGAGGGATACAAAACGAACCGACGAAGAAGTCAGACACTGCAAGCGATAGGACGAACCAGGTGATTGGCTTCTTCGGCGGTCGGCCATTTCTCTTCTTTCTTATGACGATGAATACTATGATAGAAAGATTACTGATCACTGTAAGGCAACCGAAGATTACGGAGACAATCGGGAACCAGCCGCTGAATGAAATTTCATGTCTGGCGTTCTTAGTCAATGACGAATTCATTTTGAAGGAGCAGATTTAAACAATTCGTATTGATGTTTCGCTTCCAATTTCTTTTAGTTTTCCTTTCTAGAGTTTAAGTTTCATCCAGTCGATGAATGCACTGACACTTGATCCCTTTTTTTGCTCGTGTTTCAGCTAAATAAACTTGCAAAAGAATATAAACATATGAAGTGCAAATTGGCTCCAAGATTCTTACCTCTGCGGGAGAATTCCCAATATATTCTCAACAGTACGTTTACTAGATCTCAGTGCTCTCCTCAGAAGACTTAGAAGCCTTTAAATGATAACGCAGACAGAAGACACTTAATGCGTATGGCAAGTAAGAGTTTACAAAATTTAGACGCCTACGTAAGCAGGAACAAGAACTGAAATAAACAGCGAGATGCGAGTTGTGTCGATAAAACCCTTAAACACTTTTGAATGAATAAAAAAAGTTAAAGTTTTACAACAGGTGTTTCAAGTCAGCTAGGTACATGTGATATTTAGTATTTACGAGATGATGAAGGGGATGAGTTATTAAAGGGGGTGACTACATTGAAAGAAACCAATTTACTCCATTTGATCCCTGCAGTTTCAAGGACTAATTTCTTTAATCTACATAAACAAAACGGATCTAAATATAAAGATTAATCCATATATCTTATCTTTTTCTCTTTCCAATAACCAAGAATATTAAGGTTAGCTAATCACTAATGGTGAGATTCATTTTCAGATATGGTTACTAATAATTAATTTATTTATTAGGTGCAGACTATTCGTATGCTGACTAGGGAGAATTCCAATCCCTTCAATTGCTAATATCACAAGCAAAAAGACGTTCACATTAACATTAATATTTCAAACAAGTTTGTTTTTAAGACGGTTCAAGTTAAATATCTGAATAACAGTAAAGGCCATTGCAACGCTGATGAAATGAATAAAGTTTTAGAATCCTTATAAACGTATAATGAAAGCCAATTCATCAGTGAAAAATTCTTTAAAATTAGTAAAAAGAATGACAAAAATCTTTGACGAGAAAATTTGCAAAAGGTAAAGTGAAATACAAGATGAAAAAGTCAGTCATGTCTGCCGTTCAAAACTTCAATCTAAAACTCAATGTACTTTGTGGCCGAAGGTTTACCTAAAAGAATATCTCAAAATAATGATTAATTCGTAATGCACAATGAATAATTGAGTAACGGCAAACTGAAGTACGTCTATGTAAAGAAAGAGAAAATGTCGCTTTAAAAATGTTTATATTACAGTATTAAACCCTGAAAAAACCTCTAGGCTGATCTAAGCCAGAGCGACAAACTCACGTACAGATAGAATGAACATTTATGATTCGAAAAATCAAAGGATACAAGAATAATTTTCTGTACGTATTATGTTTAATTATGCTTTTCTTTTAATTTTTCTACTGATTGGATTAACCTCCCCCCCCCCTCCCCTTGTATATGTATATAAGTGTTTTCCCTATATTTAACAAATTCCCTTTCTTTCTACCGCTCTCTCCAAGAAAAAACTACAGACTTTCACCAATACTCTTCGCCTTTATTTGAACAGATGTTTGTTTAAATATTCATTTGGTCATTCGATATTCTTTAAAATGCAAACCATATATTATATATCCAAATTTATTTTATTTTTTTGAATAACATTTAACGGTAATTTCTAGCTAGAAGTTTAAATGATTATTACAGACAAAAATATAATAAATATCGAACGATTTAGTATTGGTAAGAATAGCATTGTGAAATTTTGCTAAATAGAAAATATTAAATAAATATAAACAATTTACAATGACAATAATGGAAGAGATTTGACGTTATTTTCAGTTGCAAATGTCTTAATAAGGGTTTATTAGTCAACAATTTATAAACTTGTATTCAATGAATTATTTATTAGCTTGAATTATATTTTTTTGCGCTCGTAATCTCTTATATATAGCTAGCGCTAGTGATTATGATAGTTTGACATGATTTTTTTTACAGAGATGGTTGTTTAACAAAAAGGGAAGATAACATTGATCAAAAGTATTCTTAAATTTAAAGCTGAGAGAAAATGAGAGAATTTAATCTGAGCTAAAGCATGATAAAGTGAATACTATAACATCTGTTCTTGTAACGATAAATGTAGTATTTTGTAAATTATTCAGTCTTGTGCCGGCTTTTCTTGATATATTTATATATTTATTTAAAGCTATATATATGCTAGGAATAACATAAGTTAGAAAACATAGATAGATAAAGTAAATCATGTTGAATAAAATTATATATATATATATATATATATATATATATTATATGAAAAGAAAGCCAAAGTAAATGAGAGAAACGAAAGGAGTGAAATTAAGTGGAGAAGGAAGGAAGGAAGGAAGGAAGGAAGGAAGGAAGGAAGGAAGGAAGGAACTTAAGGAAACAAGCAAACAAGCAACATGCAAGCAATCAAGCAAGAATAAACTGACATGATTCCTTTATTAACAGAACTCGATCCAACATCAAAGAGGAACGTTGTCTACATATGCACCCGATGTCTTTACTGCTACAAGGTGCAGAATAACATGATGTCAAATTAACCAGTTACTCGTCCAATTAACATGCCCAGTTACTCAAACATTAACGACAATAATGTCTATGTGATAACCAAGCTGTTTAATTGCGAGTTTTGTATTACCAAAAGACCAAGATATTGTGGGTTTTTTGAGCAATCATTTATGTCAAAAGAAATATAATATTATCAAATGTACTATAAATGTCACTGAAAGTTTAACAGCAGCGAAACTTTTCGTGTTGATTAACGACGCCTTCGTATCTCTCAGGGAGGAGGTGTCGAAGACCTGAAAAGTGAAAGGCAGATGGGCGGATCGTAGCTAGCTCTTCGTTGATAAAAATTCCTAAAAGGGGGGCGCTGCCTTATCCTTTGTCCCTCCCTGGATACGATCCGACAAACAGACAGACAGACAGACAGACAGACAGACAGACAGACAGACAGACAGACAGACAGACAGACAGACAGACAGACAGACAGACAGACAGACAGACAAAGTCAAAAGAACTTCTTCAAGAAAGAGTGAGGGACGCTGGTCATTTCGTACACTTATAAAATAGCAAAAACGCACTATTAAGTGTCTTCTAGCTTCATTCGAAGGAAGATAAATCTAGCGTCGTCTTAATAACATGATAATCCCCTTCTGGTGGTTATGATGTCGGCTGATGATGTCCAAGGATAACTGAAATGGTCCGAAAATAAACAGTTGGCCGAGAAGCGATCCGAATAATCGATAAGAAAGCAATATCTTATAGATTTTTGTGTTTGCTCGAGTAGCTTCGTCAACCAGCCTTGGCAGTAATGTCGCAGCAGGGATCGTGCACCGTCTATGAATTAAACGAAACGAAGGTTTGTAATTCCTTAATTTGGTACCAAACGTCGCTAAAACTCTAATGTTTAACAAATAGAAAAAGTTTATTTGTGTGAAAGTCGCACATGTTTATCCGTTTTTCAAGATGGCCGCCACGAAACTCAAGTGAATTGAGCGTGCGGTGGTTGATGGGATTGATTATTTTTCAAAAAAGGAAATCCTGCTTTGCGCGCCTTGTCAGATCACCTTGAAATCGAGCTCAAAATAACAAACGGAAAGAGCGCGCGCGGTGGCTGACGCACGGGAGTAGGGTAAGGCGAAATTTAAACTGCATCCGGTTTCTAAAAATAGCCCAACCAGGAATTTACATGGCGCGACGCGACACGATAAGAAGTTTCCCTCTCTTATTAATGCTTTCTTGATGTCATACAATTGACATGACTAAAAGACTAGTTTATCAATGTTTAAAAAATGACTCCGTCTCGATCTGGTTTCCTTGGAGATTTTCCAAGGCCTCGCTAGACTATTTCATTGATTCTTTTTCCTTTCTTTCTTTAGTACACAGAGGCCCGTCTTATATTCTTTTTAAACGCTCATTTTTATTTGCTTTTAATTTATTTTACTTGATCTTGATATTAACTGGAATTACCCTGTCTATCTGTCGACTTTTTATAGATTTTCCTTTTTTTTTTCCTTTCTTTTTTTTTCTTTTTTTCTTTTTTTCTTTGTTACCTCTTCGTTTACTTGCTTGTTTGTTTGTAGTAAATTATTCTTAAGCCAGCTATATATAAATTCTTTAAAATTTTATCACAAATGTAAATTTTCTTGCTTTCTGATTGGCCGAGAGCCGTGGTAAATAAGAAGACATACTAGCAAATTACGGAGCAAGCGCAGAGCTTGATACCATTTTTCTTTGAAACGTTTAATATGCCAGTTTATTTCCTTTGTTTTTTTAAATTTTATTTTTGTTTTGTTTTGTCGTCGTTGTTGTTGTTGTTGTTTTGTTGTTGTTGTTGTTTTTATTTGTCTTTTTTTTTTGTTTTTTGTTTTTTGTTTTTTCGTAATAAAATTAACAAATATTCAATGGTCTAACGTGCTATGTCGTCTTATTTACCACGATATGACGTCAGCAGTTAGTCAAAATGTCATGTACTCAGTTCGAATCCCTGAGACAATCTCTTGGCTTATCTAAGAGGCACGCGGCTAACTCATGATCTTCGTAGATCTAATAGGCCCTTTGCAGCTCAGTAATTACGTGCTGATTAATTAACTGAGAACATCTTGGAACATCTTGATTCCCATGGGCGAAATTTACTGGTGAGCAAAAACAATTTCTACACCCTGTTGCGAGAGATCGTAATAAAACTGCATTTCGTAACACACTGGTTACACATGTTTTCATTCAGTTCTTTACAAGTAGCTAAAAAGAATCACCCATTTAAAATAAAAACAAAAATTTTGCTCACCAGTACAGACACGTGACCGTTAACTGCAAAGGGCCTATTAGACCGCCTACTGCAGTAATTGGTAATACAAAGAATGTGCGACCTTTAATGATATTTGAATCTCACCCTTCCTTTAGGCCATCATTTCGTAAGCTGTTAACATTGGTCAGCCCGATGCTCACCATCTGGCTATTTCTAACCGGCCTCCTACACTCTAAACAAACAACAAGGCGTTTCATCTCTCGCTGGAAGTCGCTTTTTAGTATGCCATACATGATGGGGTTTACTACCGAATTAAAGTTGAGTAAAATCATGTTCATAGCGATGTACTGGGGTGGTATAACCAAAGATAACTTTCGACAGAAGAAATCGTACACGCTGATTCCACAGCAGAGTACAAATGTCCCATTAACCGCAGCCATGAGCGCGAGAATTGATCGATATCGAGTAGTTTGACGCAGCGCGGTTCTAGGTATCGTCCGGTTGAATTTTATCTGCTCGTTCTCCTTGTTGATCTTTCTAAGGTGTTTTCGTACGATGTATGCTATATGAATGAAGGTAACCAAGAGGTATATCATTGGCAGTATCTGAAACAACACCACAAGGACTGAGGAAGAGATTTCTTGGCTAAGATAAGTTTTACTGGTAAACAAGACGAGAATTTGACCGACAAAAAACAATGCAGGAACCAACCAAGCCAAAACGATCAGTCCACAAACTCGACGGTGAGTTAGAAAAGTCACATACTTCAATGGATAAACAACTGCAAGGTACCTATCAAAGGCTACCAAACATAGATTAACAGCCGATATATCAAAAAGCATGTTCTCTAAAAATAGGACAACATCAGAAAGCTCGTTCTCTGGTAAAACTTTGAACACTACGTAATCCATAGGCGCAGCAACACAACCGATTATAAAATCTGCGCAAGACAACGATAGTATAAACCAGTTAGTATTAGTGTGCAATTTCTTCCTGGAAATTACCAAAAATATCACGATAAAGTTGTCAACTGTCGTTATGCTTGCAATGGTCCATAGTAGTGGCCAAAACCATTCTAGTTCGGCCACTTGATCATCCTTGATAAAACTGTATTCTTCAGATGTATTAGTTTGTAAGGAGTAATTTGAATAGTTTCCAGTTTGATATCCCATGATGTTTCTTGTCCCTTCAAAAAAGTAAATTTTATATTAAGAGGAAGTTTTTTTTTCAATAATGAGCAATAGTGGCAAAAAGCGCCAAAAACTAGACTTTCGTATGAGTTTTGATCCCAATTTTCAAAACCTTTTTTAAACAGTTAGAAACTGATGTACTATGATAAAATGCCTGTTTGAAGCGGTATTTTCAATTGTACAAAGATGTTTTGTTGCATTTGTGTTAGAATGTTGTTTTGTCAGGCTTTTTTTATAGACAACTATGCCAAGGCACGGCTACCTTTCAAAATGGCGCAGAGGGAACCTCTTTTGTTTGGTTGTAATGTTTTTCCGTTTCAGAATTAACACGTGTCATTCGTCCTTTCGGGATATATATTTTTTGGAATTTATTAATTTTTTTATCACTTAATTATTGTTTTTTTTAATCATTTTTTATCATTATAATTTTTTTGTATAGGAAATTGCACGATTTCGAGTACAATTAGGAATTTATAGGTACGAGCGAGGTTTTGAAAGTTTTCAAAATTGGACGAGCCTTTAGGCGGGTGCAATTTGAGAACTTGCAAAACATCACGAGTATCTATAAATTCCGAATCGTACGAGAGGATTGTGCGATTTTTTGTTAATAATAAACTCAACAAAATTGAGCAACTTAATTGGAACTCTACAAAATACAATTTGGGATTTAATTGTACTCCTCTCGTCCAATCAGAATCGAGTAATTTTNCGTAGTTGCTTAATAATCTTTTATTAATTTTCAAGTATACATGTATAAGTCATATTTACGAAACCTGATCTAAGACTGACACTTGGGAATTATTTCAGGGTATACCACACGGCTCTACTCTTGCCTCTTTTGCGATTACATCACACAGGTAGCCCAACCCAAGCATAGAAATAAGCGAGATAAAGCACAGCCGGTAGGCCTGATAGCTATGTTAGATTGCCAGAAAATCAAATTTTTTTTTTCTTAATTCTCAAGGCAAAAAAAGATACTATTTTAATATTGAATTGATTTTTTTTTTTTTTTTTTTTTTTTTTGTAGCCACTGCCTTCTGGGAAGGCATAACTAAGGCTATTTTAATCTAGTTGATGGTCAAGAATTGCAAAATTCTGCAGCGACAATACTCAATTATTTTTACCAATATTTGTTTAACTTTAAGCATTTTTTTCCCGAAACAGTTCTCGGAATAAATTTATCAAACGCAAGCACTAACCTTGATGAACAATGAAAAGTACCTAAATATGACTTTAACATATATATGCTTTACCTTTGAAGACCAAAATGATTTTAGATTCAATGACTATAGCTTCGGCGTATATAAGTTTAATTTGCCTTGCCTTTTCATCGGCCGCCTACAGAGGTTGGTCTTCTTCTCAGGAAGACTACTAAAAACAACTGTAAAACAGAAATAAATATCATCGGTACCGTATAAACTTTATATTACAAAATTAAACATAAGCAGTTAGGAATTGATTTTTAAAAAGTTCTTTTCATATATAAGGACTAGCTGAAATTAGGAATACTTATTATCATCATCATTTGTAAAAGATTAAGAGACCTTAAAGCATGTTTTCTTACCTTAGAATTAAGGCTTCTTTATTGAAAAAGAGATCAATTTTGAACGACTTTCGACTTCGTTTTCAAGTTCACTGCGGGATGTAAAGTTCCGATCTACGCATTGGATTGAAAAATTATTATTTTCTAAACCGCACACACTGATAAATGCAGCAAGGGCCATTGTGTAATAGTGAAAAGGCGAGACTGACCTATGATTCAAATGCTAAATACATATTGTTCAAAAAATTAAAGTCGGCCAAAAATTAATTTAAGTACACACCTAACGTAAATAGAAGGCGCCTGCGTCTTTGTTTTGACCCGTGCCTTATAGAAATAGTAATCAACCACGGCTGGGGGATTCAGTCGGCAAAATTCAAATCCGGTAAGACATTGAGGAGTTTTATTTGTGTCACAGATTAATTTATTAAAAAGTCTTCTTATTAAGTTTGGAGGCAAGTACAGACCAGAAAAAGTGATTAAACGCTTTAATATGATCAACGCAAGCTGATAGTTGATCATGATCATGATAATGACGATAATGACTACGAAGATGATATATGGTGATGATCATCATCATTATGTATAGTTTAATTAATGAGCAGGAGTATTTTTACGCCGAGTGGTTTTAAACCTGATAAAACACGATCTGCGAGTTTACAATTTCAAAAATGCATGAATAATTAATGAGCATTTAGGATCCTTATTCGTGACGTGCTCTTGTACTCTTTTGGTCCTCTATAAAGATTTCAATCTTCATACAAAGATATCTATGTTGAACTACTATCAGTTATAAATATCCATGCACGTGATGGATTTGAAGGACCTGATAGGCCTAAATGCTCATTAATTATTCATGCTTATTGAAAGTAACGGTAAACGGGATGATGATGATGGATGATGATGATATTGACGACGATGGCGATGACGATGATAATAATAACGATGATAATGATAACGATAACGAATTAGCAAATTCCAATTCGAATTTAAAACTTAGATCAGCACAGAGATTGTTTTAGGGTATCGATATAAAAGCTGCTTTTATTACGAGGGTCCAATAAAGGCCATTAAAAAACTCATTAATAATTCATGAAGGAAACACAATAGAAATCATGACCATGAAGGAGGTTTTATATCTGATATAGATTCGTCTTCATTTGCATAAA